TCTCACTTCTGAAACGTTTTTTAGCTTGTATCTCACTTCTGAAACGTTTTTTAGCTTGTATCTCACTTCTAAATAGTTTTAGATTTAGTTTAGAGTAAATACCTCTAAAATAGTTTTAGCTAAGAAATTCCATTTTTTTTAATATTTTATATTTTAGAAGTATAAAAGTAACAAAAATAAAAATAATACGTCAATATCAGTTCCTTTTAGTTAAATATAAGTTAAGTGTGGGAATAATGTGATACCTTTATCGCCATCAACTGTCCTCTTATCCAAGAAGGGAGCTTGAAGGAATTGACTCTCATCCCATTTAGCAATAGATATGAAACGAATAGGAAACTGTAAGGCATATGACCATCCTTGATTTCAATAACATTAATTCAATAGAAGCTTAATTTATTTATTTGTTCTTCCCTCCCTTGCCTTTTAGACTACACGGGGATTTTCCCGGTTCGGGAGAGAGGGCAGAAAATATGGCGAGTTAAAAGCCCTATTGGGCACCGGGATTTGAACTCGTAATTATTTTCCAATCACTAACTTCTGTTATCAAGTTATCTATATCAAGGGGCTGTGCACACGCGTTAGCCCGCTCGACCATCTCGCCCCCAATAGACAATTTTTGGACCCATAAATCTTTTAGAATAATAGTGAAGCGAACCATTTATTAATTAAAAAGGAACAAGAGGCACACTTGCCGGTAGGCCCTACTACACAGACCGATACCATATTAATTCGAAAAATATTAGGTAGATGAAGTACTGTATTAACCATACTATCTCCTTGGAACGCAGCAAGGTCGTACTTATTTTTTTAAATGCTATCTTTTTTGTTAAAGATTTGAAGTGAACGGTGTTCACATGTCTATAATTCCTCATTTTATTGGAATATGTTCATACAAAGAAAATTTTCCGGTCAACGGTCTGTCGGGCTCTCTTTTTTTTTCTATTAATTCATAAAACTTGGATATTATTTCCCTTAATTTTTTTTCTCTGTTTATTGAAGCACGAGAAAGGGAAGTAGAAGGGTTCGGATCCTTTGATGTGGAGAGTTCATAAAAGAGATTGGTAAGGTTTTATAATAGCCGTCCAATATTTTTCTAATCAGCCGAGTTTCTAATCTCCTTCAAAGACTAGTCGACGGAAGAAGCAGAAGTTGGTCAGCAAGAGGCAACTTCTGGGTTATTAATAATCTTTTATAACCGATGAACTTGAGGCTATTAATTTTTTTGCAAAGGTGGATGGCTACCAAGAGCTTAAAACAATCACAATAAAGTTTCCAAATCTTACAAATACATAAATTAGACAATAACATCGATAGACTATTTAATTTTATATTTTTTAAAAATATATTCCAAAAATAAAGGAGGGGAGTAGCTTAGTGGGTAGGGCACTGACTTCCAGAGCTCGCGGTTCCAGATCCGAAAGCCAATTGTTTATATGAACTTTTTCGTAGCTCTTGACGTCTTCTATCGCTATAATATATGTATGTATATATATATATATATATATATATATATGTATATATATATATATATATATATATATATATATATATATAGACTCATAGATAGATGGATAGATAAATAGATATTCTAAAATAGAGAAGTGTGAATACATTAATTAGAGAACAGGTGTCGCTTGGGAGACATTAAAGCTGTAAAGGGACCTCAGAGGCAGATTTCGTTGGCAGGACTGTCGCAGGTTGATAATGACACCAGCTCGCGAGATCGTTTCCACAGATCGTGTAGCAGCTACTGTCTTAACCATTAAGGGATAGATAATTTCTATTACTAAGTTAAAAAATTAGTATCATTCTTTCATTATCTTAGAAGTATCATTTTTTATGTTTCATCTTTTTCCAGGAAACTGAGAAACAACATGATAGAGCAACTCCATAAAAACGCATTCAGAAAACAAGGTCGGCTAGAAAACCTGTAAGAACCAAAATGAGTTATTTTTTAATTCTACTAACTTTGAAATTGAAATATTTAAAAATGAAAAACATATAGCACTACAACAGTTGATAATATATATATATATATACATATATACATATATATATATATATATATATATGTGTGTGTGTGTGTGTGTGTGTGTGTGTGTGTGTGTGTGTGTGTGTGTGTGTGTGTGTGTGTGTGTGTAAATCAAATCTTTTTTAATATTGATGGAGACATTTTTATTTGTTTATCTATTTTAAGTTAAAACTAGTTAATTATTATTGAATAACTGTTCATAAGAGCCGTTTAGCAGGGGTTAGTGGTTAGCGCACTATAGCAGCAAAGTAAAGATAAAATAATCGATTCCTGGTCCAACTTCTTACTACTGCTGGTCCCCGCAGGATAGACCCATTATTCGCCCGTAATTAGGTGAGGCCTACATGTTATAACATACTTGTAAGAACAAGCTAATAAAACAAAAAAAAAAAGGATAACTACATAAATCAGCATACTGCGTCCCACCTTTGTATAATATACAAGTGGCATATATATATGTATATATATGCATATATATATATATATATATATATATATATATATATATATATATATATACAATATTTATTTATTTAAAAAATGAATAACCAATTAACATATGAAAAATATATATATGTAATTTTACATAATAGAGTAAAGGTAGTTCTGTTAAAGTATTGCATATAATAAAATATATAAGACACTTACATTTAAAATACAGTCAAGTAACAATCCTAATTAAGTAGAATGAAATATATCATACTAAAATTGTGAAAGATCTGGAGGATAAGAAAACAATAAAGTTAAAAATATTTAGTTTTTGCAATAACTAACGAAACTTCTTCTTTTCCTCTTTATACGGTTCACTTTTAGTTTGGCTTCTTCACTCCGTTCCAATTTCAATCCATTGCATGATTTATTCAATATTAGTTGATAATGAAAACACTCTTTATCAAATTCTCTGTTAAATCTGGCATCCTGTAGTTCCCGAATCTATTTTCTTCGCATTAAAATGCAGTAAATATTAGATTTTTAATCCCTTCAAGGCTCCTTTATTTTATTATTTTTTTTTTTTATTTACCCCGCTTTTCGTTTATGCGAAGTTTTTTCCGACCAGGGGAAGAGGCAGGGGCTTATAGCCATAGTTAAATGCCCTCTACACCAGGATTCGTACTTCTTAAGATTATTGCCAGGCAACGTGTGCATCAAAAACGCGTTAACACGCTCGGCGACCCCGCCCCATATCCTTCTCTACTGTGCATTTATGATTTTTTAATGAAATTTGGCTTTGTATGTTATATTAAAGTCGTACACCAAACAGAACTTGAAGATTCTTTCTCCATAATTGTGTGGGTAGTTGTAGTAGTATTTCCTCAAGATTCACATGGTCACAACTTATACGGCTGTGCGGATCACCTGAAGCTGCGGTCTTTTCAATTTTTTTATTATTTTCAATAGACCACTAACGGAAGCATCTTGTTCTTCGTAATCATATTTTTGTTAGGATTATTAACAGCTATGACAGAACATATCTCCATCCATCATGTCCATCACCATGCCCTCGAAATCGGCCTCTCGAAAATTTCCAGGCCTTCATTACTGAATCATTATAGAACAATAATTCACTACCCGGATGCTTTTTCATCTTTAGAAAACCGATTAAATTAGTAGGATTCTCATTAATAGCTTCGGCATCCGACCACAATTACTGTATATCTTCTTAACTCAGATAAAATGAGAGGAACTGAAAAATCAGCGTTCATTGCTTGCTTAATGTAACCCTATTATTATTAAAATTCTAGTTAAAATTCTTCGCATTACACAACTTTCACTTACCGCTCTACTTTGAATAGACATTATTTTCTAGCTATGCTGAGCTATTATAAACTTTATGAAGTGCATTTTTAACGGAGCTACAGCTTAAAGCTTACAGCTAAGCAATCATTAACACCATTAAAATAACAGAACCCTATTGATTATATCAACCGCAAGCAACATGAAAAAGTTGCAGTAACATCTCAGGTAAATACAAACCTTAAATGTGCAATTTCACTGCTATACGACTTTTCATTTTTGACCTACACTAGTTACATGCATACACACACATAGACCATTTTGCGAAACTTGGTTATTTGGACTCCGGAAACCTCAAAACGTATTATCTTAGAAAACTCAGACTCAATCATTTTCACGATTGCATTACTGTCCCTTACTATATATTTCATATATAGATAAGTAAAAGTAAAAAGCAATTGGTTTTTTCGAAGAATAATGTAGAATTTTATGTTTGCTTTATATTAATCCTCCATATCACGAACTTTGATGAATTCTTTTGTATGAGTGTCAACATTTATTAATTCTCTTTCATACACCAATGATTTTTATCTTCTCTAACATTTCACTAGTCCCAAATAATTCAGTCTTTACTAAGATGTCAAAGCGAGTTTTTCGTTTTTCAAGTTAATAATTGGTCGAAACGGTGTCCAAAAGACCAGGAACATTAATGAAGCGATGGTGCGATGATAGTATGAGTTATAGTACCATTCAACGACGGTTTAAAAAATTTCGAGAGGATAGCTGCAGCCTTGAATACAAAGATGGCCACGGAAGGATTTCTTTTCTTGATAAAGATGATCTAAGAGCTATTGCAGGAGAAAATCTTAGAGCAAAGTTTCCAGAACTGTTAGAGAAAACTCTCAGTTAGCAATACAATCATATTAACGCAATAGGAAAGGCTAAAAGCTTTATACTTGGGTTCCTCGTGTATTAAAAGACCGCTTAAAACATCTCTCTTATGAAGTTCGCACTGCACTTCTTTACCGAAATAGACACCAACCACTCTCATCCTACGTTCCACACTTTCCGGCTATCAGTTAGTATTTTTTAAGACACCTGGTCAACTTTTTAAAATTGAAAGTTTTATTGATCAAAATTTATAAGAAAATGCATTTTCATAACTTCTACATAATAACGGTTCAACATTCTATCCAAATGAAATTGAATGGTTACCAATACGTTGGCAGAAATGTACCAGAAGTAATGGAGCATATTTTGATCAATAAAAATAGTTCCGTATCATTCATTCATCATTCCGCAAGTGTCATACTAAGGATAATCTCCAATAATTATGATTTTCACAATTGTTTTGCCACAAAATACCAGATTTACTTATTTTATTTAATTATATGACATGTCCGAATTTGCATTTAAATAACGAATATTACCCTGAGAAGCTCTCACGGATTTTACACCATAGATAACTTCTTGCAGGGACCTCTCCTTCAATAGGCTCAAGGGATTAGACGTGGAGCTGCTAAGGTGGACGCCCAAGCTCGTGGCGGTCAATCTGGCCTCCAACGCCCTGAGTGTCCTTCCAGGCGGGCTGCTGAAGGAGCTGGATCAGCTGGAAGAGCTGGATATGAGCAGTAACAGGCTGAGGACCGCTCCGGGGCTGGCTGGGCTCCACCACCTGCAGGCTATCGACCTGGCCTCCAACTGCCTCACTGCTCTCCCTTCAGGTACTCTCTTCTTATTTCAATATATGTATATAAATATATATATTTTCAAAATATTTTTTTTACTCTTTTTGATAAAAGATTAATACCATTAAAATATTAAGGGACAGTCATCCAATCCACAAACCTGTATATTTCTTTTCATAGAAGTATTTCCTTTAAAATGTATCAGACCTAGTTGGTTATCCGTGTAACCTTCACTTGAAATATCTCACTCACCTCCACACGAAAACCTTAATCTTTAACTTAATTTTATTTAACTTCAATTTTAGTCATTTGGCCTCTTATTCTTTATTTTTTTCCATTAGCAGGGATGTATAATAAATATAAATTCATAAATACATTTTTTCTTTCTACTTCTTTTGTCGAAAATCGGACCATTGTGTATATGAATTATTTGGTAGCCCTACTATTACCTACTTAAGTGCTTTTCTTACTTACGTTTCAATCTGTGTATTACTTTATAGAACTGTTTGTTAATACCACTGTTTTTAAATCTATACCTGATGATTGTTATTAATGTACAAGAATGACAATGAATTTCCAAAAGTATTGAATTCATTTTAGCATATCTTACATTAATTGATGAATTGCTCATATCCCTTCTTAAAATTAATAAACTTTTTCTTTAATTCAATACGATGTGATTATTGAAGGAAGATAGTCGACTGATCTATAAATCATGGTGAAAAAAATTCAGGAGGCAATCATTATAAAATTTTTATTGGTGCCGACGTTTCAACTCAAACATGTAGGTCATCATGAGTACTGACAAATTGTTGAATACAATCAAATATATAATATTATAAGACAGATAATGGTTAATAAAAAGAAAAAAGTGATTGATGATACATGAAATAGACAAATGAAATGTGTAAAAAGTTATACAAACTAAAACGCTGCAAGTTATTTCATAACGGTTCATTATTTCCAAACCATTATAAATCTAAACTAACATTACCTTCCTAGTGACATATAAATAGAAAGAAATAAAAAAAACTTGTACCACTACAACCCATGAACGGTTTTGGCTTCAGTACTATTTAGGGAAAGCACTGTTTCTAGGTCAACGGTTGTGCAAGGAGGTGATTTGACCGAGATCACGCTCAACTGCCAGGTTTTCCCCCTTAATTAATTATTTAATTAGAGGTGCTTTATAGAGGCTGGATGTGCCCCAGGAGGGTCTCCCGACCCAGAGTCCTCCCACGGCCAATGAAACAGATAAATAAATATTCTGCCATGAGCCGGGGTTTGAACCTGGGACCTTTATTAGCATTGGAAGCTCAGTACCCTACAACTGAGCTACCCCACTCCCCTAAATAAATAGTGATTCCAATTATTGATTTAAATATTTTTTTTTTATCGTTAGTAATTTATTTTAAGAAATAGCATTATTTCAGCAACACATTCAAAAATCAAAAACCAAAAAACTGGGTCTAATAGTTTCGGAGAAAACGCGCGGTCCGCCGACGGACAAAAAAATTAATCGTTTTTCGAATTCTACGTATCCTGAAACGTAAAACCTCAAATTTTGAGAGAGATTAAGTTTCGAATCTTTTGTTCGATTACAATGGTTCATTATTGAAAATAATAAATCAAAATAATTTATGTAACCAATTTATAAAAAGTAAGTAAGAGTAAATATTACATATTTATAAATAGTTTATATAGATTATTTTTAGTTTGTATACCTTTTTACATATTTCATTTGTCGATTTCCTGTATCATCAATCACTTTTTTTATTATTAACCATGATTATTATTACCTGTCTTATGATATTATATCGCTTATTTATTAAACAATTTTTCAGCCTTGCTGGTGACCCACATGTTTGGGTTGAAACGTCGGCACCAATAAAAACTTTAAAATGACTGCGTCCTGAACATTCATCTCCCATAATACAATGTAATGTTGTTGTTTTTTAACCTGGTCTATAAATCGCTAACAGATGGATACTCAATGACCCGTTACTATTCTGAAATAGCTATTAATCAAAATTCATCATTTGTCACTTTCGATTTTCTTTGAATAGCAGGGATTACTCACATCTGACTGAAACCGCAGAAAAACCAGCAATGCAGTGGTGTAGTTACATTTTGCCAACACTAGAAGTTGAAGGCGTTGTACAAAATGTAATAATGAATAGGGTTACAAGTACATATTGTTAATAGTATACCTGTGCAAAAAGTCTCGTACAACATATCTATCCGTCTTCTCTGGAATATATTCGAAATATAAACAACACTAATAATAAAACACTTTTATATGCATAATCACTCAAGAACTGAACTTTTTTCTTTTAATTATCTATATTCACTATATTTTCATATATTTTATTAATCGTATTTTTTTTATATTTATGAAAATCTATTATTGTTTCTATATTGGTTTTGCTATATCCCAAGATAGTTTTGAGGTTTCGTTCTATTCCTTAACTTCGAAAAAAAAATTTCATTATGCGGACAGTGTTGCAATATATAGCAAATCGTCAACTACACTTTAAATATTTCGAAATTCGGAGGTATAAATTAATCTATGAGAAAACCGTATGTCATTCACGAGTGCCCAATTCCTGTTTGATTATAAGAACTTCCTCTTTTCTTTTTTTTTTTTTTTTTTTTTGATTCAGAACTTTTAAATGCTTCAGTCTCTCTTTTGGTACTTTTCAACTTACTGTGTCCATCAATGTTTTTCCATTGTCCATGCCCTTTCGCAATTATTTTTAGCTCGGCATATAAAATAGCTGCAAATATCTGAGGTTGTGTGTATATTCGTGATTTCTAATGAAAATGACGCTGCATCCTTGGCAGCCTTGTTGACTTCTTGATTTCCTTTAACACTGACATGTGATAGTATCCAGATGATTACTAAATTCTTATTTACATTTTTTATCGTCGTCGAATAAGCTTGAGCTTTCTTTATTCCTGGGTCCCTGCAGTATATGTTCGTGAATGCCATTATGGCGAATAGAGAGTCCATACGTGCGATAAAATTATCTTTTTCGCACTGCATGATATGAGATGAAATTAGAATTTTTATATAATGTAATTTTGACTTGGTAAGTTTCTGAAAGGCAATTACATAGATAACATAAAAAAAATTTGGTGAAAATTCAAATCCATAAAAGGAAATAATCCAAAACCAACTAGAAAAATGAACGGGCGATGACTGAATCTTTTCTGAATTTATCAAATACAGTGGCCCAGAGATAGTCAGGGCTGAGTAGGCCCTTTTCCAGAACATATGAGACAGCACGAAGATTTACCGAGAATGAGAAATCAATATAATAGTGTCAATTCACACAAATATGTAACTCTAGTGAGTTTACCAGTTATAGGCCAATATTTCTCTCAATAGTTGTGCATAAAATGTACACCTTGATCACAGAGAAAAGACATGTTGAGGATGATGTTAAGGAAGAACAGGCTGCATTTTGGGCAAGTAGAATCAATATTTTTGCGGCCTACAAAACAGTATGAAAAAGTTCTGGGATAGTGAAATAAATATATATGGGTTTTCTGGATCACAGCTTCAGATGACAGGAAAATTTATATGGAAGGCACTAAGTGAAAATGTACCAACACCCTTAATTCAGGCAGTCATATTTACATACCAAGACCTTAAAGGTATTTTTAGAATAAATGGTATGACCTCAAAATCTTTTCCTATGGCACAAGATATAAAACAAGGATATTGCTTTAGCCCTCTTCGTTATATCATCTTTATGGACGAAATACATAAAATATTTAAAGTGTAAAGGACAGTAATCGGGGAGTGAAACTAAATAGCAATATCCGTACAGTATATTTATTAGCAGACGATATTGTTCTTATCTCCGGTGATAATAAAAAATTGCAGTGGGCAGTAATCAAAGGGCAAGAACAGTTTCTTAGGTGAGGAATGTTTATAAACCCCCCAAAAAAATAAGTCATGCTAATTTCTAGGAAAGAGGAAGATTTTGGTACAATAGTTTGCAACACTGCCACCGTTGACAAAGATGTGTCGTAAAATCAAATAAAATATACTATCAAAAACCTAACGCACTAGTAGGCAAGAGTGAGTTCACCAATCAAGTAAAGCTGTACATTTTCAAAGCTACCTATCAGCCGACTTGGGGGTTTGACTAGAGTTGGGTAACGTTATACTGACGTATGAATCGTCTGATTACGAAAGAAATAAGATTCACCCGCTGGTGGCTGGAAAGTCAAGAACAGGCCGTATCGGAAACGAGACAACAGAGCTACTTCATATCACCAGAATGGTCATTAAAAAATAATTAAAAAACTTCGGAGAACTGAAGATATTGGCACTAATCTGAGAGAAATGGTTCCGGTGGATAGAGGCTCCTCTACGCTGAGATGAAGAAGGGGTGGAATGAGAAGAAGATAATATAATTTTCCATAATGTAATAACACAGTCATAACATTTGTAGCTTTCGACAGTTCCAATTCTCTCAATATTTTAAATTGTTTTTTGTTTTTTTGTTACCCCCCAGAAATTTATTTAATTTTACTATACAAAATGCAATGTATAAATACATAAAGAATATATATATACAAAAATTTCTAATTTCCTTTTATTGCCCAAGGGCATTTTAAGGTAAAAGGTCTATGCACGCTGTATGCGTTCCGTAAGAAACGTTTGACTGTTTACACTTTTAGAACGAGCAGTTGGGCGAGATTAGAAATCAGTGAAGTACCCAAAAAATTGTTTATTTTTAGTTCCAGCATTTGGGCCCACGTTTAAGCCGGCCTTCATCACGGCTACTGGTTAAAAACATAGGCCGATAAGTCAGCAAAAATAAAATAAACAAAACAAAATAATTTTTTGTGTACTTTTTTATACTCAAAATTTTAACTGTATTTTTGATAGTCATTATCAACATTAAAAATAAATACTGATTTTTTTTTTATGAACTGTTGACATATTTTTCCGTCCCACGTATTCTCTTCCTCCCTCTTCACTACTCATGTATTTCTTTCCGATCATTTTTTCCCTCCTT